GTCATTAAACATGTACCTGTAACCTACAAGATAAAACAATATACGTTATCAATATATATTTTTAAAAAATTACTTCAGATTGTAAAATATTAATTGAAGTATTTGTATTAACCAAAGATATACCTTCCTGAACTAGTTGATGTGCCCTACAGATGAGTTTAAGATCATTCACTTCCATAAACATATAAGTCACTTTACTGCCAAATAACCAACCTGCGCCACGTGGACTTACCGTCCATGTTTCTACATCCTCTGGATCAGACCAAACCAAATCACAAAAAGCACCTGTAATTAAGCAAAGATGTTTAATTATTATTATATATTATAGAATATATGTTATTATCGGACAATAATATAATATATCCAGATAACATAACTTCTATTTTATACCGGAATATTATTTTACACATTTAACACATACCTTTGTGTGGAATCTCTTGATTCCTTTCAATCGTTCTAATTTGATCTAGTGTTCTAATAGCCGGAGACAATCCACCATGTACACAAAGAACCTGTTCATCAATTAACTGAAACAGAATTTTATTCAAGTATAATAAAAATTGTAATTTTTAAAAGATCTTTTATACAAATACTCACGGCAGCAACTGTGAGCAAGTCAAATACCCTACAACAGTACTTCCAAGCATTAGCATTGCCATACTTGTTTTGGCATTCATCTAGAATAAACAACAAAAAAAAACAATGTGTGAAATCAAAGTTTTGTTATGTACAAATACAAACAAGTCACCAGAAAAGAAAATAACATTATATGCTTACCATAAAATCCATAAACATGTGTGATTTGTCTAGATTCATGATTACCACGTAGTAATGTTATCCTGTCAGACCATTTAGCTTTAAGTGTGAGCAGACGAGTAAACGTTTCTAAACTATAGTAGCCCCGATCAACAAAATCTCCCAGGAATATGTAATTTGTATCTGGTACAGGGCCACCATTGCGAAACAGTTCCTCTAAATCATAGAACTGCAATAGTATGAGAACATGAATAATCTGAAGTATATTTACATCATAACTGTACAAATAACTATTAGTAAGTTATAAGATATTAAGATCAAAAGTGATTATAAAATAGATCATAAGACAAATAAATCTGGAGATATGGTAGTGTCTCGGCACCAAGACAAGCACAGCGACACTACCGTGTTCCTTTTAACAATAAACAGATGAATATGATGGATCTGTTGCAACGTTAATTAATAGTCCTAAGTCTTATCGGTGAATCGGTGAAGTTGGCCAACAGCCAACTTGTACGACTAAGACTACCGATTTTCTTAAAACTGACCAAATTCGACTTTATTCTTTCCCATTAATCGAGCTACACGACTCGCTGTACAATTAACTAATAGATGCGAAAAATTATAGTCACCTATTTAAGTTAAAACTGATTAAGACTCAAGATTTCCGACTATCGACTCATTGTAAAATCAGCATAAAATCTTGAAATTTTGTCGATTCCGTAGCGATGAACGATAATGCTCCGATTTTGAGGTTAGGACGCACATCCGGAACTTACCTGACCGTGTATATCGCCGCATACCGTCACCGGAGTAGATACAGGCTGGATGTTTGACTCCTCCAGTAATAAATCACATACCACGTCACAGAGTTTCTGTTGACAACGATAAAAGTTAACGCGATAAGTAACTCAGGAGATGCAAAACGCGTAAGTTGCGTAGGTGAGTAACCTAATCGGCGCTTGTGTGTCGCGTGACCGTTACCGCGCAGAAAACGGCACGACCGGCACACATCGTAAGTACAATTTACCTTGAGATCATTCTCGGGCAAGTATTTGCATTCTTTCGCGATATCTATCCATTTATCGATGTCTGACATTTTGGAATCGCACAGTAAGAAAATACCAATACTGATCGCGCCCCCATACAGCTACGTCGTCTCCGTGCGCGCTCGATGCTGCTGGATCTCAAATCTCAATCTCTAATGGCGAATTCGGCACACATGGGCTGCGTTCGGAAACATCATCCGAGTGCCCCCATGTATCGTTTTATTCTTGTGTTCATCCATGTTGAACAAAGATAGGATGATATACGGGAGTACCCAGATGAGTTTCCGAACGCAGCCATGCACTGATTGACCACTGACAAGATAGCAGATAAATTGAATATTTCTGATTTATTTACATCTGTATAAACAAATTGAGAATTGTTCGGAGAAATTGAGGAAAAGTATTTAAACATTTGGGTAATAGTATTTTTTTTGTTATTAACAAATTTTATTATTTTATTTATTTAATGTGTTTTATGGAATCGATTAGAAATCATTTGGGAAAGACGTCTTCATTGTTATTTTCATTTGAGAAAAGTAGCTATTTTGTAATTCAATAAATTTACATATATTGCGAAAACTGAGAGGCTGCGCAGAATAAAAGGAACAGGGAACGGAGAACAGAGAATAAAGCGGGGAGCACAGACTCTAGCATAACGCATAACACGTAATGCATAAGGAAATGAACCAATCAAAGTCCTTCGTTTCCTTCCTTTCCACGAAATAAAGAACTCTGATTGGTTAAATTTCTTATGCCTTATGTGTTATGCATTACGCAAGAGTCTGTGCTCCCCGTTTAAGGGAGCGTTTATATTGGCCGTATTAAACGTATACCGTATGCCGTAATCTGTAAAAATTGACCAATCACCTTCAAATGTTTCCCTCTTACCATCGAATAAGAGGGGAATACTTGACTGTGATTAGTCAATTCTTACAGATTACGGCATACGATTACGGCCAATATAAACGCTCCCTAAGAATTTCAACCTATCAGAAATTGTATTCCATGGTACATGATTTCTAATAGGTTGAAATTCTTATTTTCTGTTCTCTGTTTCTTGTTCCTTTTATACTGCGCAGCTCCTAAAGGCCATCACACGTACAAAATTTTAGCGGGAATCGTAAGGTCGCAAACAAATCGACCAATCACAATCAAAATTGAGATCTCGAGTTTTTAAACACTCGACTGTGATTGGCCGATTTGCTTACGGCTTTACGATTACGACTAAAATTTTTGTACGTGTGATGGCCTTATGGCCGAAATCAGACTATGCATCGAATATTGAGATTGAAGATTGAAAGATTGAAATTTGACCAATCAAAACAATAGGAGCTAAAATTCCTTTGTCCTCACTGGTCAAATTTTAATCTTCAATCTTCAACTTCAATCTTGCATATGAAAATAAGAGGAACAACCTCCAATGACTTTGATTTTAACAAATGTTATCTAGTTCATGATTTTAAACAACATTTGAGAGGTTTTACCTGTCGGTCGGATACCTTGGATAATGCTAAATGCCGGAGGTACTGTAACTTTCGAGCATCATAACTAAAAAAGTACTTGATAAAAAAATATTTTATTATAGCGTTTTGGAAAGCTCTCGAGGTAAGCTATAAGAATATGCAACGAAAAATAAGGGTTTCCACCATTTAAGAAATTGAAGATAACCTTCACGTGACCTTCAAGCAACTATTCAAGGTCAAACTAATGACACCATCTTATGTCTCCCCTGGCGGAAAAAAAATTTTTACGAAAAAGTATAGAAAAATTACATAGATTGAGATAAAATCTTAGACATTCTTAGTTTTTCATAGATATTCGTAGTGAGACGTAGAGTGGCGTTGTTTGAGGATTTCTAAGTTTTTCAAAGAAATAACGTCGCTCCCACTATGAATATCTATGAAAAACTGATGAATAATTTCTAAGATCTTGTCTCAATCTATGTAGTTTTTCGTAAAACTTTTTCGCCAGGCTCTCAAAGCCATATAACTTTTGTCTGAAATATTTTTCTAAAATCAAAAATAAGAAAGTTATTTAGGGTGGGTCATTAAAATGGGACACCCTGTATATATAATTATATAAAAAATTATATATTATTATAATTACATATAATGTTATATAATTATATATAAAATATTTTTTCCCAGGTTTCTATTAAATTATTTTAATTTCAGCAATGTATTTAAAAAATGATGTACTAAATTGGTACAATAATATACATCAAAGTGATTAATTAAATACACATATCATATATGTGTTTACACGTATCGCCGAAATTAAGGTAATTCAATAGAAAGTTACTAGTTATTAATACTCAAGTGCACTAGATGTAAACTAGGCCATTATATATAATTTCAATTTTACCGTATTGGAATTATCAATAATACGAGCTAATTCAAGTTTCGACGCGAGTGTCGCCAAAGGCACGCTCCAAGCTACAGATAAGTAACAGCGAATCTGGAAAGAATAGTAGGCCTATTCCTTTTAGCTGAGCTTGCTAGCTTCTTGCACAGTTTATCTTTTTTCTCCAACGTGGAGAGAAAAGGAGGAAAGATGAACTGTGTAAAAATTAAAAGTTCAACTAAAAGGAATCACAAGATTTATTCGCATCGCATGTATTCCTATCATAGCTCCTACTCACTTCAACGAACGCGTAGAGTGAGTCGTAGATGCTATGATAGGAACATGTTCGAGAACGCGAAAAACTTATAGCATGAAGTGAGCCGATATCGCGTCAATCAGACGTAATATCGACTCATCACTTGCGAACGTATAGAAAGTGATTGTCGATCGCTCAGCCAATTTTCGGTCTCCTCGCGCGCATGTACGCGCGCAATTCTCACATACGAACAAATAAACGAACGGACGTGGGACGCGCAGAGTTAAAAAGGTCAGAGCGCGTTAACGGAGAACTCGTGTACGATATGGATTTTATCTCACCGCCGCGAAAGTAGGTCACGACGGCGACGTACGGTGGCGGCGGCGGTGGCGATGGTAGCATTGGTGACTTGTGCGCACGCTTCGATTATCGATTGAACCACTCTACGGGCTCTCCGAGTGCGGTAGACGGTGCACGGTGTGGACACCGAGAATCCGTCGTTCTCGTTGCCGCTGTCATCGCCGCGTATAACCGCGTAAAGCCACGTAACCGTTCTGAGATCTCGCGCGCCGTACGTTGGCGTAACGTTGGTAGTACGGCGTAACGCGTACGGGCGAGGTTTCAAATCGCACTCCTCGACGTATCGCGCGTGCGCGCGCGCGTCCGCGACGTGAGCGAGCGAGCGAGACTGAGCGATGCAAGATCGAGCGATTCGTGTCGCCGCCACCGTCATTGCGACGGTGAAGATGCGGTGAAGTTTGCCGCGGAAGAACGAGAAGCTGTCAGTCGAGTCAGGCGGGCGGGCAGAGCGCGGCAGTCAGCCATCTTGCTTGGTGCACGCTTGGATCTCGTAACGCATAGTTGAGCTCGCCTCCGTCAACTACCCTTTTCGGGAGGTCGTGTGCGTGCGGGCGGTGGCAGAGCAGCAGCTCTCCAGGTGGTGCGCTGTAGGCACGTCGGAGTCACAGCTGTGGAGAGGAGACAAAGAGAGAGAGAAGGAAAGTGTGCGCGCGTGTGTGTGTGTGTGTTTCGTGTATTTGTTCGCGCGTGTTATTACGAGCGGCGTAACGCGAATTACGCGACTCCGACGGCAGGATGGCGGGCAACACGGGTATGGAACAGTTGATCCCGATCGTGAACAAGCTGCAGGATGCGTTCACGCAGCTCGGCGTGCATATGCAGCTCGATCTGCCGCAGATCGCGGTGGTGGGCGGCCAGAGCGCGGGCAAGAGCTCCGTGCTTGAGAACTTCGTCGGCAAGTGAGTATCGCAGGATTGACGTTGTATAATCGCGTCAATCTTCTCGCGCAGCTTCGGATAACCGAACTTTTCATACAAGTGGCACCGTTGCTCCGATAAAAAGGAGGGAGGGGGGAGAGAGAGAGAGAAAGAGAGAGAGAGAATGTGTCTGTCGTCATCGTTCATAAAGGATGTGTAAAGGGAATCTCGCACACACGGATGACATAGCACGTAGAGACCCTGCTCCTCGTAATTCTCGTGCGAGAAATATCTCAATTGTTACTCGTGACCACTTAAAGGCGTACTCGATCGAATGCGATCGATCAACACCTCTTCCCGAATCTCGTACACCCATTTTTTCCGATAATATAGATTAACTTTAATTTTTATTCAATTTACTTTTTATTTTTCTTTAAGTAGTTCACGGTGCTGAAAATTGCTCCGAAATCTCGGACGGAGAAAGGAGTAAACAATCGTATTCAAACGACCCAAATTGTTCAAATGTGATTTGTTCATTCTTTTTCGCATCGTCGAAGCGATTTCTAATATCGTGGATTTAAGAATGGAAAATGACGTAGAATAAATTTCATCATCAAAGTCGTTGATAGCAAGGAACATTTATACTTATTTTTTTTCTTTTCTCGCCCTCTTCCACGGTCTCTTCTCACTCTTAAATTTTCCATGCAAATGTACGTTTTCCATTTCGAGCGTAGAAAGTGTAACGCGGTTGTATTCACGAGACGACCAGGACCTTTTTATTTCGATTCGTCTTCATTGTCGCTACGCAAGTGTTAAAGCGTGGCGGAAACACGCGCGGCTTTTCAATTTCAACGCGACATCGCGCATCATTGTCGAGGAAGACCGTCGGACAATCGGTCGTCTCGTACCGCGATGGCTTTTTATGCGTGACATAAAACAAGGCGAACGGAGCGATGGAAGTCGGAACGCCCACAAGGCGACCTGTCAAGTGTCTCCTTCGTGACATCCTCGCGGGAGTACTCAGAAGCTGCCCGTTCATGCGCAAACCCGGCGGGCGGGATGATTCTACGTGACTCCTCGTAGCGAACGTCATTCACGTCGTTCTCTGACGCTATTAAACGCATAACTGGCGATTATGCAAAATATGTCGAGATAAAAATAGTCAAAGAATAATAATTCAATAGTAAAAAGAATGGGCTACGAGCCAGTTATAACATAAAGAATATTTAATAAACTTTCTTACGTACATGCAAACGTTTCGACACCGATCGGGTCATTTTCAATGCAAAACAATAAACAATCTTATAAAATTCTCGGAAAATTCAGTTAAATTATAAAGTCCAGTACAAAGTTCGGTTGTATTAATGACATGTGGTCCATATGTAAAAATCTCGAAGGAGATCTCATCTCACTTTTTTTACAATTCTCCAATCTTACAAATAAATCATAAATTAACAATACGTTATAGTTTAGGTTATCAATACATTTTTTAGTGAATTAAATTAAAATACAAAATAAATAAAAAATATATACCTTAAAATGTCTTAATGATGTAAGTTAGACGCCGAGAGGAAAACGCAATTAACAAAGTTATATTAAATAAAAAGTAAGCCATAATACGCGAATGGGTCTCACATTTATACTCGACGATGTCAAGCGACATTATGCCAACAAGGAAACAAGGAAATAAGCAAGATAATTGGAAGGAGACAAAGGACAATGTTAATAATGATTCAGTCTTAAAACTATTTATATGATTTTTATGTTCAATGTGTAATAAATTCGGTTGGATGCACTAGTTCATATTAAAACTGTTGTATGAATATTGATTTAATCCAACTGTAAAAGTGACATGCAAGTATTTTGAATTACAAAATACATATTTTACTTAATAACACAATAAAATGTGTTGACAATTTCATGGTTTACCCGTTTCTATATTTATATCGAACACATATCTTTACATCAATTTATGTACAATGGCTTTAATATGCATCAGTGTACACTGAGTACGTCCAATCGAATTCGCTATTTATCTTGCGACGCCTTTTTAATGTTTGGTAATTTAGAGAAAACGTTATATCGCGATGGGTGAAACATCTATATATAAAGGAATATTATTTTTTTTAAGTCTTGAAATCTTTTAAGATATAGTTGATTTGTCATACCATGTATGTGCATAAGATACATTTGTCGAACTACATTGGTACTTGCTTTCAAAACAGAAGAATTGACTAATGCAGAATTTAAATTTAACCCGAGAATAGTGATAATTTTTATATCCCAACAGAAAAAAATGAAGTAGTAATTTTTTGTATTGATCAGCGCAATCCATGCCCATTTTTTCTCCCTTTTTTTAAGAAAATATCAAGAAAATATATATGAGGGTAGTTCGAAAAATTCTTGACCTGATGCCACAAATATCAAACTGCTATGATTTTAGACAAGTTTGATTCTTCACAGTGCTACTGTTAAAATTTCAGATGGATACATTCATTAGTTTTTTTGTTTTAATCGTGTAGTGCTGGGTTCAGATTCCCACTCGAGTGTCACTCAGATATCACTTCAGCCTTGTTGTTTACCGAACGTTAAACAAGAATAACATGACACACCCGAGAAGCATCCGGATGGGAATCCGAACACGCCCAAAAGCAACCAACGTTTGGTTCCATCATGGCAATATATTCGCTTTTTCTTCAATTACAGAAATGTGAGCGGGTGCATTGTCATGAAAAAAAATCAAAAGTTGGCTGCTTTACATGACCGAAATAAAGAAACTAATGAACACATCCGTCCGAAATTTTAACAGTAATCCTGTAAAGGATCAAACTTGTCTAAAATTATAGCAGTTTGATATTTGTAGCGTTATTTCTGTGTCAAGCCGAGAACTTTTCGAATTACCCTCGTATATATAAAGATTTCAAATAAAATATTATTAATTGTAAAACAATTAATAATATTCAGTATGTAATTAATAGTAACTTTTAATTGTAAAAAACATCCCAAGTGAATGTTTACAAAAAAATATTAGGCGACTATTTCTGGATTAAAGATGTTAGAAACGAAAATTCTTGAGAGATAAAATATAAAGAATATTTAAGATAGATAAGGGGACACATATGAATTTCTTGTACATTTATCTTTTCTGTTTGTTTCTTTAACGTGGAAAGAAAAAGAGGAAGTATGAACCTTACAAAAAATTCAGCTGAAAAGAATAAGCCTTATGTATATTTTTATCAAATAGAAGAAAGAAGATATGTGAAATAAATGATTAAATCTTATTATTGCCTTTACCTTAGGTTATACATATCACGATCTATATTTAAAAACATATTAATTGCAATTATTTTAATGAATAATTAATTTATTCTCCAATAATTGCATATATAATTAATATTTGTATGAAATTAATGTTAATTAAAATTAACTATAACAACGAATACTTATACTTTTCCAGAGATTTCTTGCCAAGAGGTTCAGGCATTGTGACAAGAAGACCTCTCATCTTACAATTGATTAACTGCCCAACTGGTGAGTCATAATTCATAAACCACATTACATTATTTTTCTTATTTCATAATAACACAATCCGTAAAGGCCATACGAGTCACGGGCTGATGAAGGTGCCAACGATTAATTTCAATCTTAATTAATCATTAATGTGTAGAGTCCTCTTTATTGGAACTACAGTCGGGAACCTGTAAGTGACTCATGTTGACGGAATACTCAACATATTAATTACACATATGTATTGCTGAGGAGGACTCCAAAGTGAGTCAAAACGTTCAATAAAGAGGATTCTACATTAATGATAAATTAGCACCTTCATCAGCCCGTGACTCATATGGCCTTTACGGATTGTGTTATTATTATTTTTATTTTAAGAATTCGAGTCTACAGAAATTGTTTTTTCTTATTTCATTTGATATACAATAATCAATATGAAATTATCTTACATATCTGATAATACTCTCGAAATCTGTTACTTTTTAAAAATCATATAAGAAATTAATTTAAAGGATGTAGAGTTCTCTCGTATATACTGGTAATATCATCTTGTTAATCTATTGACCTATATTCATGGCAAATATCTTCCTTTTAAGCAAGGACTGCATTAATGTCTAATGCATTTACTTCAGTTATATGTCATTCTCTGTTTGACTGTTCTTGAAAATCTTTTTATTATACGACATTTATTATATTAAATGAATTCATAAGAAAAGTTATCGACATTTTGCATTTTATTATTGCATATAGTATTAATAGAATATAGTAAGACAAGATTAATAAAATTATTTTGCCTCTTGAACTTTTATCAACAAGTTATCACATATCCTGTATCATATACTTCCCTTAAAATTATGATAAACTGTAAATTGAATGTATCTCGTTAGACAGAATATAAATATGGTGAATATTAAATATTATATATAAAATGATACATAAAATATTATATTAAGTTCAATTTTTTTATTTCATTTTTTTTCTTAAATAATAAGTATCGTTCTTGGAAATTAAAGTAATTTTTTCTTTCTTATGTTACAGAATATGCAGAGTTTTTGCAATGTAAAGGTAAGAAATTTGTAGATTTTGATGAGGTACGGAAAGAAATTGAAGCAGAAACAGACAGAGTGACCGGAGGTAACAAGGGCATTTCTAATATACCAATTAATCTCAGAGTATATTCACCCAACGGTTAGTATAAAATAACAAGATTATTTTAAAAAATAAATGATAATTGTCACTTACTAATATATATTTATCTTTGTTTAGTTCTAAATTTGACATTAATTGATTTACCTGGACTTACAAAAGTACCAATCGGAGATCAGCCAGCAGATATAGAAGCCCAAATTAAAGCCATGATCTTTCAATTTATCAAACGTGAAAATTGTCTCATATTGGCAGTCACACCAGCCAATACTGATTTAGCTAATAGCGATGCTCTTAAACTTGCTAAAGAAGTGGATGCACAAGGTATTCAGTTGCAATGCTGATATTAATGTTTATTTGAATTTAATATTAATACATGATATTATAAGGTGTACGTACAATTGGTGTTATTACTAAACTGGATCTCATGGACGATGGCACTGATGCAAGAGATATTTTGGAAAATAAATTATTGCCGTTGAGAAGAGGTTATATTGGTGTTGTTAACAGAAGTCAAAAAGATATAGAAGGACGAAAGGATATCAAAAATGCTTTAGCCGCTGAGCGAAAGTTTTTTCTCAGGTATATGCGCGAATACTATTCTGAAAATGACGGATGTAATTTTTTTTTTTCTGGTCATATATAACTTTTGTTTTATTTGTTAGCCATCCGTCTTATCGTCATCTAGCAGAAAGGTTGGGTACACCATATTTGCAGAGAGTTCTCAATCAACAATTAACAAATCATATCAGGGATACCTTGCCAGCTCTAAGAGATAGATTACAAAAGCAACAATTAACTTTAGAGAAAGATGTCGAACAGTACAAACATTTCAGGCCTGATGATCCTGCAATCAAAACAAAGGCTATGTTACAGTAAGTGAATTCAAAATTATATAATGTGCAAGTTTACAGTATCTTAGTGCTCGTCTTCTATTTATAAAAACTGTATTGTAAAAATCACAAATGCATATCTTATAGCAGAATATGTCACATACAATATATACACATAAGTGTAATAACAACATTCTTTTGATGAATGTATTTTGTACTTCACGTCTTCACATATAAAGCAATAATCATGCAAATGAAATCATAGTTCTTTACCTTTTCATTTTTAATATTTTTTATTTTATGGATAGAGAGTCTTGAAGTTTTAGATCATTTGCTTTTCGTTTTCAGATCAATTCAAATGTATATGTACGTATTCTTGTGTTTGCTCTATTAGTTTTATTTAACCAAAATAGTATTTTTGCCATTTGCATGAAATTTTAAATAATTGAGAAACTACATTTTTTTATTATGCAAATGCTTTTTTAAGAATGAGGAGATAATGTGATGGCATAAAACTATTCTGCTACAAGAAAACTAACAAATAAAATTTCTAACAAAATATATTTTTAATACTCTGTGAAGTATTAGATCTTTATAGGGATATAATATGACATTTTTATTATAAATTTGATTAGATTGTGATGCAATAACAGAGATTACTTCAAATGTGTTTTTTGTTGTGAATGGTAGATAACATCAAGACTCTCTAGCTATATAACTAATACTTTATGACAGATTACATTACACAAGTTAATAGAAAAATGTTTTTAAGGATGATACAGCAGCTTCAATCAGATTTCGAGAGAACTATAGAAGGCTCAGGTTCAGCACAAATTAATACTATGGAACTCAGTGGTGGTGCAAAAATCAACAGACTTTTCCACGAGCGTTTTCCGTTCGAAATTGTTAAAATGGAATTTGATGAAAAAGAATTAAGAAAAGAAATTGCTTTCGCCATCAGAAATATACATGGTGAGTTTCTTTTGGTTTTATCGTCAATTGACAAAACAAGTTAACAATTATATATATTTTAATACGATAGGTATCAGGGTGGGATTGTTTACCCCAGACATGGCTTTTGAGGCAATAGTCAAAAAACAAATAAACAGACTTAAAGAACCAAGTCTCAAGTGTGTAGACTTAGTCGTGCAAGAACTTAGTAATGTTGTACGCATTTGTACAGATAGGGTAAGTCAAGGATAATTGTAAGATAAGGTAGAGCGGGGCTATTTGAGCAAGTTAATTAAATGCAAATGTCTAAATAACCAAAATATATATAGATACATCTATGCTTGCGTAATGTAGCGCAAAGACAGAGATTATTGTCTTTCAACAGACTTTTCTTAATACGATAATCTGTGTCCGGCTGTCACCAAATATGTATACTTTTTCGTTTTTGTATATCAAAAGTAAAATTATTAGGTGAGTATTCTTTTTGGTCTACATAGTAATTAAAGCGATTGATAATAATCAAGTGTGTTTTTTTGGATATAAGTTATATTGTATTTTTTTAACTTTAATGTTTAAGTTACTATTTTATTTACAGTTTTTCAGTTATAAAAAAGTATTTCAATCAACACTGATATGGAGCTTTTATGTAAGCCAGTATCTCATAGCTAACCATAAACTCAGCTGCTTAAATGAAATCTGTCTTTATCAATGCTTCTTATTCTATGTTAACGATTAAACATATATTTTACGTTTAATTATTATTATAAAGAGTAAAGATTTTAGTTTTGTTAATTTAATTTTGCTAATTAAAGAATTTAAAAAGAAAGAATATTACAAATTATTATATTTAAGATGCAAATAATAAAAATTTGATTAATATACACATAATCCTTTCATGTTTTTAATAATATATAACTTCATTAAACGATTATCTTCATGGCTCAACTTATCCTTCGAAAATTCTCAATATGCCCCAAATGAGGCATATTGGTCCACTTTACATCCTTGTAATTAACGTAATTTTTTTCTTATTTACGAGATATATTAAGAATTTATAAGTACTTAATTATTGAGATGAATATGCAACGTTTTAAAACATTTACCATTAGTCTATCATAATTGTGTGAAGATTTATAATAATTTAAAGAAAAAGTGTCACACACAACTAGCCCCACTCTACCCTATTAAAAGATGTAAGAATTATTAAATTTATACATAAATATAAAGAACACCAATAATCGATCAAAATTAGATGTTATGAATATAATACATATTCTTAATTTTTAAATTTAATTATCTCAGATGTGACTGTGCACCGAAACGTTCGGATATTAATCACAATCAATCTGAGATGTTAATAATATAAATATTATTAAATTATTAAATTCCAATGTTAAAATATGAGTTAGTTATGCAATTTTTATTTACTGATTTTTTAATATAAAACAGATGTCGCGTTATCCCAGACTAAGAGAAGAAACGGAACGTATCATAACGACATACGTCAGGCAGCGCGAACAAATGTGTAAAGAGCAGCTGATCTTGTTGGTGGATTGCGAACTCGCATACATGAATACGAATCATGAAGATTTCATCGGTTTTGCGAAGTAAGTGATCATTAAATATTCAACATTTGTTATATGTTATCTTAGATTTCAAGTATTATTTACAGAGGTATACGGTAGCCAGACACTTTCGGTTTTTTTAAGTTAATACATCTAGTTCTTACATGTCGGTTTCGTTACATTTATGCTTGCTGCTGTTTTCTTATTTTATGTCAAATTTGATATAGCCACTAAATAGCAAGAGACGTTGCATAATGCTGTTATAGTATTTAGACGAGATTTATATTTCAAAAGACTGCTTTCTAGTTGAAAAGATATTAGCAATATATTCACGTGTATTGCATAAAGTTTTACCAAAGTTTTTAATATTCTTTATATGTTGTAGTATATTTGTCATTTAAGATAATAAATTATTTACTTTTTAGAATATATTTATTTCTACAATTTAGAAAAAATAATTTAATTATTTTTAGTTAATTTTTTGCTGTCAAAATTTATTTATACATGATGTCCAGTGGTCCTTACATACATATCCTTGGATCCTAGAATTATATTGGAATTTTATGTATTCTGGAAAATTCCTAGAAAACTCCTGAAATTTCAGAGCTAGCCAGGAATTTATCATTCTTTCATTTAAAAAAAAATCATAGCGTGAAAAAAAAAGAAAAAATAAAAAGTTGTGCTTAGATATAAATCTTTCCTTAAAGATGCAAGTTACCAATACAACTTGAATTTATTGTCTAAAAAAACTTGAATTTAATGTCTAAAATAGAACATAGTAGAAAAATTGTTTGTGTTGACGGAATGTTCGTTTGATGTTATTTATAAAACAAATAATATTGTTTCCAATTTGTTAGCGTTTTATTCATTCATATAGAATTCTAACTTGAATACGAAGCATATAATATTGCACGAATCGATGAAAATTAATTAAATAATGAAAATTAATCCATGGATAAATCCTGAAAAAATCAGGATTTTTATCTGGAATTATCCTTGAATTGACTAGCCAGATTTTGCTGGACACCATGTTATAATCTTTAAACACACATTAAAGTAGATTAAAATAAATTGGAGGATAATAATTTATTAACAAGGGATATTTTTTCTAAGAACAATGTAAGAAAATTAAAATATTAAACATTTTTGGGGAAGATATGATAGAAAGCCGTACTACACGTGATTAATATATCAGATTATGTTTGCTTGCTATTATTTTTTTACTCAATTATCAGCGCATATACTTTCACAGTCAGTGCATGTCTTGCTAAAATCAGCTCACATAGCAATCTACAATCACACTAATATTCTCAGCTTGTCCTCCCTTCAAGGCCAGAGGCCGCTCTAGAATTTGACAAACGATGAATTTTATAATATTATTTTTACTCACATACAAACACACATACACACACACACACAAAACGTAAACTTGTATGACACTATGCTAAAATTATATGTATAAGTATAACTTTTATGAACTCTTCTATATATTTTTTGTTTTAGTAGTACGTTTATTTTATTTCTGTTAATTATAGAGTAGAGCGGAGTTATTTCGTCAGTTTCAACTTTAAAGTAATATGAAAATTTACGATGGTAAACAATATCTCTTTACAATAATGTGCTTATAATGACGTTATATAATCGTAATTGTTTCTTGAAAGCACAAGCACAATTTTTAAATTATTAACATTTGTTATTCAGAAACATAAACATTATGAGAAATGAACGAAAAAGCCCCATTCTAGTCTAATATTAAATTATAAACAGGGTGTCCTTGGAGTAAAGGAAATATTAAATTATAAACAGGGTGTCCCTGGAAAAGAATATTTGAGATTATTTTCATACGCAAATAGAGCGGATTAAACTGAGTCGAATAGTCCTCTAAAACTTTTTATTTTTACAATAGCTAACGAGTTATTAACTTTATTAAAAATTGCCGGGTAAATATTATCTATAAATTAATCGCAAACCTGTTGCAATAATTGTTTAACATAAATGATATTAATAAAATGCTGGTCCTAAATCCTGGTAGTATCTGTTGGATTACTTTTTGAGATTATGTTTTTGTCGAACAGATACTACGCTTTCAAAACAATGGATGGCTGTACTAGAGTCCTAGAACAAAAATCCACAAATCACAAAAACCCACAAAATTTGAGTTTTTATGGAAAAAGCTAGGTTTTTGCCAACCCTGGTGCTTGCTTTCAGTGATAGACCGCGGTCGGGTTAATACGACAATTTTTATAATTAATAATTCGTTAACTGTTGCGAGAATTGAAAAATCAATAAGAATTCTTAGACTCTCTTAACTGAACTAATAAATTAAAATAAAAACGCACATATGAGAATCACGCGCAATTGTCAGAGCACAAATTATCAAATATAGATAATTTTCATTAATTTTATTTCATATGTTTTGACTCCTCTCCGGACCGTCATCAGTGAACATCGTCAAATTTTGATCTTGAGAATGTTTCTCAACTCCGTTCTGGCAGCTCGAACACACGTACCATTGGCAGATAAATGTGTTTTCTTTGCATTACCTGTATTATCCTGTGGAATGCCAACCTTCCATTATTCTCTTTTTATTACTTTTTAATGTTCGAACTTACCATCTCGGAGTCGGAAAGCAATTAAGTAATTTACAACTACATGATTGCATCGAACAAATAATACCAGGCCAATTTTACTAACGGATTTAAATTAATATGTTGTCTTTTGGAAACTCCAAGTCTTATTAACGTTTAAATTTAGTTTTATAGAGAATCTGTTTATATTTAAGGACACATTCATTTGAAATCATGATTGTGATTCATCCTGCTTTTTGTGATTGATTGTGAGTTTGAATTTCTATTATGATTGCTGTGTTCCGCAATCCGTGTTTTCAAGTGCCTTCCGCTACTTCTGTCTAACATAGGATGTGTCACAATCATTGCATTCAATTTTGTATACAACATTCTTTTTATCTGTGTCTGGCAAAACATCTTTGTGTCCTCTTATAAAACATGAAAGTTTGTTCATACTAAAAAAGGAAAATTTTGATTTCATGTTTTTGATCATCTTTCTGAATTTATCTGACACCTTTGGGATGTATGGTGTAGTAAACCAAGGATGCGGTTTTTCTTTTCTTATAACTCGAAAAGTAACGAAAAAAAATTTTATTATAGTGTTTTGAAAAGCTCTCGTGAGGTAAGCTACAAGAATATGTAATGAAAAATGGGGAGGCTCCATTTAAAAAATTCAAATTCATTTGACCTTGCCCTGATCTTGACAATGCCACCCAAGATCAAACCAATGATACCATCTTATGTCTCCTTCGAAGTAAAAAAATTATCCTCATTTTTCGAATTAACGCAGTGTTTTCGAGATATTTAGTGGGTCCTTTAAAATGGGACACCCTGTATATATATGGGCATTTCACGCCAAATCGTACGGCCTTCGCTACCGATATTTTTACTGATTTTTGAATGTATTCCTCATATTAAAATATGTATTCAGTTATTTTTTTTAGATTATCTCCACTAGTTGCCTATATATATATATATATATATAGATATGAATTTTTTAATATTTTCAATTTATTTTATTTTATAAACGTTTAGTTGAACACAACTTCTGTTTAAATTACTGAAAAATAAAAAATAACTACATCAAATAGTTCGTCTTGAAATTCTCTACTAAGAAATAAATATGAAAAAAACTTCAAGTTTTTGTTTATACTCGAAAAATCTGATTAAATAAATCTGATACAATAAATAGAGTCGATTTTTATCAAGATTGACATTTTTAATTTTTATTAAATAATTCTCCAATATTCTTAGTAGAAATACAAAGAATTTAAGCCATATTTGATTATAACAGTTTTTCAGCATATTAACATTTTAATAGGATGCCTGATTGAGCATCAAATTATTAATATTGCTTGTTAATTTAATTGAATACATTCGTGAAGCAACATGGTGATAGTACGAAATGAGAATAAATACTGAGTGTGAGTATATCATATAGATTGTGAGTATATCATAATAGTAACCTTTTCATTGCTCCAATAGCTACCGTTTACACCGTGCGCTTAGTCCGCGATTTATGCGATAGGTGTCTTTGTTTCATGTACAGTATAAATTAAGGGCACGGTATAAACATAACCGATGTAAACGAATCAAACTGAAAAATACATGATTGTGTACGATTGTTTGACAAGCGAAAGTCATGTTAAGGGGGGTGAAAGTCGTTTCGCGTGGAAGTCGTGCGCCTCTTGGCAGAGGGGAGGGGGATGGTAGTCGCTTCGCGTGGAAAATCGTTAAATATATTTTAAAGCAAGAAAATTTTTGTTTTTAAAGCAGGAAGTCTATTTTAAAGCAGAGATTTCATAGTAAAAACGAGACGTCAGTTTTCAAACTTTTTTTATTAATAACTTTTTAACAAACAGCGACCGCCACCTAAAACCTGTCGGAGATCACTCAGGGTGACCTTGATGACCTTGACAACATATGTCAAGGTCAAGGTCATTGTAGGTGGCGCCCCTTTTCTGAACATTAATATCTTGCGACTCGATTTGAAAGAGCAAAGCCTGTACCTGAGACTCAACAAATTCATAGTATTATTCTAAAAAAAAAATAGTACGTTTATTGTAAAAAAATTTTTACAATAATAGAACGTACAAGAGTGAGAAAAAAACTGAAAAATAAAAATAATCTGTTATGGAAATGATCTTTATATAAAAATGATCTTTATTAATAAATTTCTTCACATATTCTAAAAGACGTTATTTTATTCAAATAATATTCTTATAAATTATTCCCAAAATAATTGTGAAATTAAAAATATATTCTCCAATATCCTTATGAAATAACATGATTTATGTACTCATCAATAGATTAAAAATCTACTAATATTAAATAATAGATTTAATATTTTGAAAAATTAAAAAAAAGTAGAACGAAAATTTTGACCATAATCAAATATGGCTTAAATGCTTTTTGTATTTCTACTAAGAATATTGGAGAATTTTTAGATAAAAATTAAAAATGTAAATCTTGACGAAATCGATTTGTTTATTTCAATCAGATTTTTTGAGTAGAAACAAAAACTTGAAGTTTTTTTATATTTTTTTCCTAACAGAATTTCAAGACGAACAATTTTATGTGATTATTTTTTATTTTTCAGTAATTTAAACAAGTTATGTGCAACTAAACGTTTACGAAATAAAATAAAATGAAAATATTAAAGAATTCATATCTAGGAAACGAGTGGAGATAATCTAAAAAGATAACTGAATACATATTTTAATATGAAAAGTATATTTAAAAATCAGTAAAAAAAAATTAATAGGGATCGGTGACGAAGGCCGTCCAATTGGCGTGGAATGCCTCATATATGTATAATATATATGTATAAATATATATATTATATATAAATATATCTATATATTGATTACATTCTTTTATTTTTTTAGTTTATTTATTTAGTTAAAAATTCAATTACATGTTCTAATTTATAAAATTTTCAGAGATATCTCTAAACACTTAATAAAGTTCAAGCTACTTAAAATTTAAATACAATTGATTGTTGAATTACAGAATAATAAATTTATAATGATTATAACAATGATTTATATCAAAAAAATTTCTCAAGTTACTATGGAATTATAAAATTGCATTTGCACATATTACATTTCTTTGTGTAGTTAAAATTGAATTTTATTGTTATGGCTATAGCAGTATTTCCGCATAATTTATTCTATATTTTTAATCTTTGCTTTAAATAATAAGATAATGTTTTCAAACATTAATTCCAAAAAATTAGTTATAAAAAATTGCATTAGATACATATAATGTATAACTAATATTAGTTAGATAAATATAAGCATATAACTGAATAAGTATAATAAGAGTACATAAATTTAATAATGTTGCTGAAAATTAAGTATCATAAATTTGCTTGATGTTATTGTTAATAATGGGGACAAGGCATACAACTTTTGTACAAAAGTATACATCTTTGAAATCTTTTTTTAATATACAGGGTGTCCCATTTTAAATAATGCATTAAGATTTCTCGAAAACTATTGTAGATACGGAAAAATGTTTCAAACAAAAGTTGTATGATTCGGAGGGGGACATAAGAAGGTACCATTGATTTGACCTTGAGTGGCGTCGTTAAGATTAGATCAAGATCACATCGATTTTTTTAAATGGAATACCCTACTTTCGATGCCAGAATTTAATAGCTGGTGTCAAGAGCTTTCCAAAATACTAATTAAGTAATAAAATTATTTTTCATTAAGTACTTTCCGAGTTATAAGGCTTGAAAGTTACAGTACCGCCATTGGAGATTATTCCTCTTATTTTCATTTTTGCACTAAAAATTCATTTTTACATAAAAATGAAAATAAGAGGAATAATCTCCAATGGCTTTGGTTTTGATAAATGTTATCCAGGACATGATCTTGAACAACATTTAAGAGGTTTTAGCCGTCGATCGGACACCTTGCTTAATGTTAATGTCGGTGGTACTGTAACTTTAAACCTTATAATTTTAAAAGTACGCAATGGAAAATTTACTTTATTATAGTATTTTGAAAAGTTCTTGACACCAACTATTAAATTCTGGCATCAAAAATATGATGTTCCATTTGAAAAAATCGAAAAATGTGACCTTGACTTAACCTTAACGATGCCACCCATGGTCAAATCAATGGTACATTCTTATGTCCTCCGAGCTGTACAACTTTTGTTTGAAACGTTTTTCCGTATCTACCATAGTTTTCGAGAAATCTTAATGCATTATTTAAAATGGGACACCCTATATATGTATAATATTTTACTTTCATATTTTTAAAATCTTACTTTACATAACTTTTGATAAGAAGTAAAATTAGTTGAAAATCGTGACACATAACTTTTTAAATGTATGAGATTATGGGCGGAATCCATAGACGTTCAAGCTTCGAGTTAATTTTAAGCTAGTGCTTCAGATATCATAAACCAATCACAGAGCCGTATTTGCATCTTAAGACATTGTTTGAGACGGTCTTGAAATTAAGAACAGACTATGGATACCGGCCTATGTGTGCCTTATCCTAATCAAAATAATATAGCCTTATCCTGAGATATACTTCTTTTTTTCTCATCAATTTCTTCGAATTTCACAATTAAAGAAATGATTTAATTATATCGGCAGCGCTGCAGCCAGTAGCCATAATGCAAGGGAAGAATATTAAAGTACATTTCAACAAAAATTTACACAACATTTTTATCCCTCTCTTCATTTTCACGCTCTTTCTTTTTGATGCTTATCCTTCTTTTGATATCTTACTGCGTCTTTAAGTTAAAACATTAATGTACTGAGCCAAATTTTAGTAGTTTTTAGCCTAATATTAATAAACATTTTGATTATTTTATTATTAATCTTTATTGTTTTTTTAAATATTTTATTTATTAACATTTTGATAATTTTAATACAAGCAGAGTATATAGTATATATACACACGCATACATAGTGTACATGTACAGGGTGTTTCCTCTAACTTGATCATTTAAAATATTTCCATTGTTTTTGATGATGCGAGAAAATACCACAGGGAATCTTGTTCGATTCGAAGGGGCACATACTATGAACAACAAAATTTTTCTCAAGATCGTATTTTTTGAGATTTCAAGGTCATCTCTACTTTTTTGAATGGAATTGTATGATCTTTTTACACAATATAATTCCTCTAATTATTCTGAATATAAAAGTATTAAATTTATTTACAGTTTTTCAGCGTATTAACATTTTTCTTATAGGATGCCTGATTGAACATCAAATTATTAAACTTGCTTATCAATTTAATTCATGATATTACTACAATAGTTTTATTGCGTTTATAAGTCCAAAAAACTAATTCGGCGCAAAGTACGAATAACTACAAATATGCATGTACATATATAATAATTCAGATTAAATTATTTAAGTATTAAAGATCTAGCTTCGACCGATATGGCCATTATTTCTATTTCTTGTTGTTGAATTTTCAAATGTACTGTCCAGTAAGATTCTTATTGTTTAAAAGTATTAAGGTAGTGATATCACAAAAAACCAATAGTTTAAGAGATATTTTATACTTTATTTTGGCATATATTCACATAAAATGTAGTTAAATAACTCGTAAATTATTAATTTTTTGATAATAGTACCTTAATACTTGTATGAACAGAATAATGAGGTGAATCAACTGGTGGAAAGAAAACACCGAGGAAAACACATAGTTGCTTTAAAAAAATGTATGCAAAAAGGATAATTTTTAAAATACGCAACGTGTTTTCTTTCCATCAATTGATTCATCTCATTATTCTGCATATAAAAATATTAAGGTACAATTATAAAAAAATTAATATTTTACGAAAATTATTGTTTAACATTTTATGTCAATATATGCCAGAATAAAGTATAAAGTATCTCGTAAACTATTGATTTTTTTATATCACTTAATACTTTTATATGCAGAATAATTAGAGGAATTTACCATATTGTGTAAAAAAAAAATCATACAATCCATTTAAAAAAGTGGAGAGAACCTTGAAGCCTCAAAAAATATGACCTTGAGAAAAATTTTTTGCTCATAATATGTTCCCCTTCGAATCGAGTAAGATCCCCTGTTTATATTTCCTCGTATCATCAAAAATAACGGAAACATTTTAAATGATCAAGTTATAGGAACCTACACCATATATATATATATATACACATACACAGGGTGTCCCATTTTAAATAATGCATTAAGATTTCTCGAAAACTATGGTAGATACGGAAAAATGTTTCAAACAAAAGTTGTATGGTTCGTTTATGATTGTCATGAGGGGGACATAAGAAGGTACCATTGATTTTACCTTGGATGACGTCGCCAAGGCCAAGTCAAGGTCACATCGATTTTTTTAAATGGAATCCCCTATTTTTCATTACATTTTCTTGTTGCTTACCTCGAGAGCTTTTCAAAACACTATAATAAAGTATTTTTTCATTAAGTATTTTTCGAGTTATTAAGGTTCGAAAGTTACAGTACCGCCGGCATTAGCATTACGCAAGGTGTCCGATCGATAAAACCTCTTGAATGTTGTTCAGGATCATGTCCTGGATAACATTTGTCAAGATCAAGGTCATTAGAAGTTGTACCTCTTATTTTCATTTTTCTTAAAAATGAATTTTTAATTCAAAAATGAAAATAAATTACCATAGTTTTCGCGAAATCTTAATGCATTTTTTAAAATGAAACACTGTATGTGTGTATAAATATATATATATATATATA